AGAAAGAAAGAAAGAAAAAAAAAAAAAGCATATTTGACGTTAGGGGAAAAAAACCCTTTAACGCTGTAAAAGTCTCTCTGGTTATTTTCACTTTTTGTTTTGGACAAAAAAGAAGGAGATGAGAGGAACATTTTTAAAACGCCATGTAGATCGCCTCGTGGTTATTTTTATTGTTTTAAAGATAATAACCAGAACTGCAGGAGGATCTCTGTGACTCCCGGTCAGCCTGAGGGACATAGTGAGACTTTGTTTTAAAGAGGTTAGAACCACGTTGGTTCTTGTATTTGGAAGGTTTGTTTGAGGGCCTGAAGACTGCTAAGCAGCTAAAAGCACTTGCTGTTCTTCCTGAGGGCTGGACTTCTGTTCCCAACATCCACAAGGCGGCTCACAGCCACCTGAAATTTCAGTTCCCCCCTCCTGGCCTCCACCGGCCCTGCACATGCATGCGCGCAGGCATGAGGCAAAACACCCGCACATACATACATACGTACGTACTTTGGTGGGTGGGTTTCGAGACAGGGTTTCTCTGTGTAGTCCTGACTCCTGTAACTCGCTCTGTAGACCAGACTGGCCTTGAACTCAAAGATCCACCTTCCTCTGCCTCCCAAGTGCTAGGGTTAAAGGCGTGCACCACCGCCCAGCTATAAACACTTTCTTTAAGTTTAAAAAAACAAAAAAAAAACCCTGTTGCTTTGATCAGTTTTAGTAGGTGTTTTTCTTGTGTGTGTGTGTGTGTGTGTGTGTGTGTGTGTGTGTGTTTTTGCCTTGCTGTTCTTCGTTTTATAAACAGGATGAATAGATGTAGAAAAACAAAATCCCTGCCTTTAGCATTTTCTCTTACAAGGGATGACGATTAACTGTATCAGTGCTCTAGGAAAAACTTTTGCTCTTTTAGTCTAACTAGTCTGTCTCCTTCCATTTTCAGTGGGTTAGCAGCAAACTTAAGCAACTTTTCTCGAAGGAAGAGAGACCTGCCCTGGTCATTTGAGGAATAGGATGGATGCGGTATTGTGGACTCTGCTCAGGCTGAGCGGCAGGCAGGTGAGTTTGTCTGGCTCTGACAACACAGTTCCAACTGGAAGTCCACCTGAGACACTAGGTTTGTTGATAACATGGAGATAGATGTCCATCTACCTTTGAGCCTCCTTTTGAGGGCAGAGTCATGTGGTCAGTCTCTCTTGCAATTTTATTGCTGGCCTTTTTTTTTTTTTCTTTTAAGTTATTAAATAAGGTGTGGCACCAGGCCTGTGACCCAGAACTTGAGAAGCTGGAGCAGAAGACAGCTGTGACCTCAAAGACCACCGAGGTTACATAATGAACTCAGCCTGGACAAGAGGTAGCCTATGCCTTGAAATCGATAAGAATTAAAGTTAATTATTTTCTGGATAAACTCTAACTTGCATATGGGCAGGGACAGTATGTCTTTTACTTGATGTTTTACTCTAGCATCAGCAGAATGCTTGCACATACTAAGTGCTTAGTATCTTGATTAACAAATTGAAGCAACCAATCCTCTGGGTTTTCTCCATTCTCAATGTTCTCCTAAAGATTCCCCAAGTGTGATTGCTCACAAAATAGCCATCTAAAGATACTATTAATTTATCCTTGAATTATGTGTATGGGTGTGTGTATTCATGGTAGTGCCAAGCTTACATAGGCCAGAAGGATCAGCAGATGCCTTGGAGCTGAAGTTATAGAAGCTGGGAACATAATTAGGGTCCCCTGCAAGAACAGATGCTGAGCCATCTTGCCAGACCTAAATAGGCTTTTAAGCAGGAGTTATTAAGGAAACATTTGAAGAAAGAAGAAAGGTAGACATATAACCATTATTTTCTCTGCTCAGTTTTCTTCTGCCATCAGTACCAAGCCAGGTGAGAGTGACAGGGATTTGTATGCAGACCCAGGCTGACATGCATCCTCAGTATCTCATTAAATAACAAAAGTATTTTCCCTCAAAGGCCATCATGATTTCTTCCTAAGTGAGAATTTCACATCATAAAATACCATTAAAAAAACTTGTGTTCAACCTTTCCCAACCGTAACTTTTTTTTTTCTGAGACAGGATTTCTCTCTAACTCTGAAGCCTGTCCTGGAACTCAATCTATAGATCAGGCTGGTCTTGAACTCACAGAGATCTACCTGCCTCCACCTCCCAAGTGCTGGGTTTATTTTTAAGACTTAGAACCTTGAGGGCTTTGGTGGCACACACCTTTAATCCCAGTACTCAGGAGGCAGAGGCAGGAGGATCTCTTGTGAG